AAATTATAAGTCATCATTCTGATTTTTATTATGTTAATGGTTTTCTTACTTTTTCGGTCCACTTTTATTTTGTTCTCTTAAGAAATGAACAAAACATGAAAGTCTTGGTGTCCTGGAATTCTACAGCCTACAGTTCCATCTGTAGTAAGAATTAAAAGCTCTTCTAAAGTAAATTCATTTAGTAAATGTAATTACTTTTGAAGTAAATTGCCCTTTCACATCAAAACACATAAACCAGACCTGATGATTTTATAGATAAACGGAGGCATTCCGACTTCTTAAGGTTGCACATGGAACTCAGATCCGAGATGAGCACCATACAAACAAACGGGGTATATTTCATTTTCCTAAAGCATTTCTATTTTCTACTCTAGAGGAAAAAAAATCCAGTGATTTGGAAATCAGACCCCTTGTCTGATTTTGGGTCTGAAGTTTTACCAAAGTAACTTCAGATGGCTCACATCACCTGGCAACATTATAAAAAAAAAATCTAGGTAAGATTTATAAAATCTGCACTGCCTGCATATGGAAAGAAGTGGACCAAATCCTGGTTCATTTTATTCTAGTTATACAGGTTGACCTCAACTTATGAACACGATTGAGGCCAAAATTTCTGTTGCTAGGTGAGGCAGCTGTTTAGCGAGCTGCACCTCATTTTATGACCCTTTTTGCCACGGTTGTTAAGTGAGTCATGCAGTTGTTCTGGCTTCCCCATTGACTTTGCAATGATGAGAGTGGGAGGACGGATGGAGAGCAACGGATGGAAACCAATCCAGGCGAGAAGCAACTTAGAACCAAGGAGAAATTTCCTGACAGTGAGATCAATTAAGCAGTGGAACAGCCTGCCTCCAGAAATTATGGGTGCTCCATCACTGGAAGCTTTTAAGAGATTGGACCATCCATTTGTCTGGAATGCTCCAGGATCTCCTGCTTGAGCAAGATGTTGGACTAGGAGGGGCCTCCAAGGTCTGGTATTCTCTGTTTTGTATAAACTCAGAACTACTGCATATCAGGGGTCTTCAAACCTGGCCCTTTTATGACTTGTGGACTTCAATTCCCAGAATTCCTCAGCCAGGCACGCGTGCCTGGCTGAGGAATTCTGGGAGTTGAAGTCCACAAGTCATAAAAGGGCCAGGTTTGAAGACCCCTGCTGTATATAAACAGGGAGTGAGTCACAGTCATTAGCTGCTGGTGATACCTGGTTGGGGGTGATACCCTGCCAGTGGGGGTTGCATGACCCCAGGACCACCGCAAGTGCCCGAGTTTTGATCACAAGACTTATGGAGATGCTGCAACAGTCACATGTGTGATAACGTCATAAGTCCCTTTTCCCAGCACCATTTGAATGATCACTAAATTAATGGCCGTGAGGATGATCTGCGGTTCATTGTTCTCTGGACGCCATGTGGTTTATGGCACGTGGAAATGAAAAAATGTCGCTGTCCAACCGGCTGTCCCATTGGAAAAAGATAGCGGAGCCCATAGGGGGAGGATTCAACTTTTTCTAGCTTAGTTGTCTTTGGCGTAATGCAGTGAGAGAACCCTGCGAATGATGCGTACATCATAATTTAATAACATTACATTTGAACTAGATTTGAACGCCTTTTGGCTAAACCTTGCAGGAAACAGCTATAATTATGTAAGAATGGAAGCTAACCTAATGAATGAATGAAGTAATTCTTTATTAGGGCAAAAAGCCAACCACTTAAAATAGCCCACAAACATTAAAAAATCCGCCCAGTAAACAAAAATTCTAAAACAGTTATTAACTTAATGAAACTGTAGGAGGAGAGCAGCGTTAGTGTAGGAGAGCTAGAAATCAGGAGTTGTCTGGTTGCCACTTTTCTGACTAATGCGTTTTATTAAAAGGCACACGCTTTCATGAGTTTCTTCAGCTCAGCCAAAACTTCTGCCTTTTAATAAAACTTGTTTGTCGGAAAAGGTGCAACCAAGAGTCTTCCTGATTTTTAACTTAATGAAGGAGTTAATACAGTGGTTCTCAACCTTTTTAATGCTGCGACCCCAACCGGTCGTAAGTCGAGGACTAAACCGGTCGTAAGTCGAGGACTAAACCGGTCGTAAGTCGAGGACTAAACCGGTCGTAAGTCGAGGACTACCCAACCGATCGTAAGTCGAGGACTTTCCCTGCCCGGGAGTGCCGCGCATGCGTGGTTCT